AATCTCATCCTCCCAAATATTTACCTGATTCTGGAGAATGGTGCAGTACTGCATGACCTAACATTGTGCTTCTTGGAATATGTATCCCCTAGTAGAGAAAACAAAGGAATGAGGATGGTAGAGGGTCCCAGCAGGGGCAGATACATGGGGAACAGACAGGGGAGCGGGACGCACTCTGATCAGTGCAGATCTGCAGCTGGGGAATCCTAAGCAGGCTGTGCATGTGGATTTGAGTTAAAAACAAACAACAGCAAACAGACAAACTTTGAGTCCAGCTCACCAGACATGTCAAGTAAACAATTTGACACCTGTCTATCTATCTGTCAACGAAACTTAAAGAAGAGAAGAGGAGAGTGGGAGGTTGAAGTCACAAAGGAAGGTAAGAAGATTGTCAGGTAACTGCAGCCATGGGTGTCACTTTTCATTATACAGAGTCAACCTGGCAGTTGGTGACACCACAAAGAATATTTTTTATCATCACCAGAGGAGTCACCTGTACATAACTCTTAATGTAGAAAGCTTATACATTTTTTATAGTGTTAGAACTCAAAGAATGATCACCCAACTCCACTCTGGCATTCTGGGTGCCTAAAACTCATACAGTTTCAAGACATTATAAAGAATTTAACAAGCTAATAATTGTAAATCTTGAAGAAGGGTAAACACTACTTCCTCAACTAGGGTAGTCCATGAAGCATGGACCAAAGAAAACACTGATCTTCCTTATTCCAGTTTCATTCATTAGCATATGATGTGCATAGATTAGCATATATTGTTCATCCAGTATGGTGTCCAGGGCTCCCAGGTATGAGAGAGAATCTGCTGCTCCCTTCAGAAGTCAAACATCATAATCACAGAGCTTAAGGGAAACCTGAAGACAGTCCATAAAACAGTGTTAGATTCCAAAACCTCAGACTCCAAATCCAGAAACAAGCACACAGGGAAGATCACATACTCTGCCCCGACTGATCTTTGCCTTCGCTAAATGCATGAAGACAGAAGCCAAGCGGAGATAAAAGTAAGACATGATAAACAAGGGCATCCAGGATAGGAGAACTTAGACTAATTCTATACTTTCCATAAAAAATAAATATAGATGAGGGGTTAGGGAGCTCAGTGGGAACAGTGCTTGCTGCACCAGCCTGAGGACTGAATTGGAACCCCAATTCCCATATAAAATATAAGGTGAGTTTTGTCATGCATATTGTATAATCTCCACATTGATAGGGGGACAAGAACAGGAAGATGCTGGGGCTCCTTCGCTATTCATTCTAGCCAAATCAGTGTGCTATAGAGTTCAGTGAGAGGTTCGGGATTGGGGAGAGGAGAGGGAGAGAGGGCAGGTGCAGAATAATGGAGGAAGACACCTAAGGTTGACCTCTGATGTCCACATGCACACCTGCACATACGTGAGCGTGCACACACAAGCAAAAATGTTATAAATGCCAAAGAAATGAATGACCTCTGAGGCAACACAACCGTATTCAATGTTCTACATGTTACTTCCAACAGAAAAGAAGCACAGGGTTTCAATAGAAACCACAGATTTCTTCTTAAGTATAACCAATTATTAAGAGCAGATAGCAATGCGGTGATAGTGGCTAGGTAACATTTTGCAGGGGCCACCTCTTGACAGCATAGAGTCTGAAAAGCTGCCGTGCACTGTGCTACCTTCACAAACGCTAACAGCTCAGGTGAAATGGTACAGTGCCTAGTCTCAGCATAATCAAAAGAAGAAGAAGCACCCTGGGGAAAACAGGAAGGAGTCAATCCCAAGTGCTGAGGAGAAAGCTATCCTAACTTGGAAGAAGGAGAGCAAATTATGTTAGACTTGAAACCCACTACCAGTCTTACCAGAAGGAAACCAGATGCAAGAGAAACAGGCCCCACCCTGTGCTAGGTCTGTTCTCAGGGAGCGAGCTGCTGGGCTGCCCCAGTGAAGACCTGGCCACCTCCATTAGTACTCTGCCCTCTGACCTCAGGCAGCAGAAGCAGAGGCAGACTCAACGTGCTGGCAGAGCATGAACACCAGCACAGGACTCTGCCTTTGAGCTCAGTACTGAGTCTTCAAAAATGGTCTCTAACACTGGACAAAGATGGCCCCTGGGTGTGAAACAGACCCATGCCCCAGAGGGGCAGACTCCCTTCCTCCCTCTGGTTTTAAGACTCAGGTGTCCCAGCTTAACTTCAGGGTGGCCAAAGCACCATCTCTGAAGGCACAGCCATCCTCAAACCAGTGTTCCAGGATGGAGTCTCTGGTCCTGCATCAGCACCACTGCTGCCTAGCCAATATCTTGAGCGCCATAATAGAAGACTTATATTCTGCTGCTCTCCTCACTGTGGGGTTTGGGCACAGGGGTCTTTCCTGAGACTGATACTCCAACCAAGGGCCATTCAGGGAGATAACCTAGAACCCCTGCTCAGATGTAGCCCATGGCAGTTCAGTGTCCAAGTGGATTCCATAGTAATGGGAACAGGGATTGTCTCTGACATGAACTGATTGGCCTGTTCTCTGACCACCTCCCCCTGATGGGGGAGCAGCCTTACCAGGCCACAGAGGAAGACAATGCAGCCAGTCCTAATGAGACCTGATAGACTAGGATCAGAAGGAAGAAGAGGAAGACTTCCCCTATGAGTGGACTTGGGGAGGGACACGGGTGGTGAAGGGAGAGGGAAAGTGAGATTGGGAAAGGATGAGGGAGGGAGCTACAGGGGGGATACAAAGTGAATAAACTGTAACTAATAAAAATTAAAAAGTTAAAAAAAAAAGACATATTCTGGCCTACACCCCTTCTGGCTGTAGCATAAGCCTCACACCTGAGATTGTACTGGCCCTTTGATCTGGGTGACTTAAATACAACTCAACCTGACATTAGAAAGTGCCTTCACCAACCACTAGTCTAATCTCAGCCCAGCCTAGTGACCACTAGTCTAATCTCAGCCCAGCCTAGTGTGGAGTAAGCTCCCATTTGCTGATGATGGGACCAGAGCCTCGGAACCAGAGCCAGGCATGACACTGAGGAAGTTTAAAAAGCTTCCACTGCCACGCTGTGCTAGCAAAAGAGCCTCTGGACCTGCCTTGGTGCTATAATGGACATATAACCCCAGTATATGAGGCTTCATTTGGGCCAGCATCACCTTCAGCTGGTTCTAGCTGTCTTAAGCCAAGAGTCTATTTCAGCTATGCACAGCTCATAGCATCACCAACCGTGCGTCTACCCCAGGTCTCTCTTGATAAGCTGTGGTTCACAGTATGACACAGCTTTGCCTCATGAGTGACCACAGGCCTGATGCTGGTCCCTCGGTGAGCACAGGCAAGTTGCTGTGGATAAGGTGTTTGGGTGAAGCCCAGATCTACAGGAAAGTTTGTTTCAAGCTGAATGACTTGCCTTTGTGGGTTAGGATAAACATGGGCTTAGGCTGCCCTCTAGTGTTAAAACTGTGTCAACACACTGATGTTGAATGCAGAAGCTAACCTTCTAATGCTGAAATAACAAAAGCAACTACAGAGGTGGTGAGGAGCCTCTTAAGAGTTTCTCTAAGGAGAGGCACAAGTAAAACCAAAGTACAAAGACTGGAATAAAAGCCTAAAGCATCGATGCTCAGATGACGTCACCAACACTAAGAGAGCTCTCAGGTAACAGGGGTCTCTCCTACTGCAGAAGTAAAGCACAAGAAAGTAAGCATAGTAATGGCTGTGAGCATATTTTTAGACTAGGGATCTTAAAATAACTGCATTGAGGAAACTCAAGAAAAGGCAGAGGAAAAAACAATACTACGAGAGTCAAGCTTAACAAGGATAAAGAAATTTTAAGTCTTTATTAAATGTTTGTGAAAGAGAAAGAGAAAAGAGATGGGGGAAAGGGGGAATAGAGAGACTGTGAATGAATGGGTGTGCTCTTTTCTTGTACCATGAAGCACATGTGAAACACAGGGGCCAACTTTTGAGAGTCATATCTTTTCTTCTACTATGTGTGGTCCAGGAATTCCAGGAGAGCCAAAGCCACACAGAGAAACAGTGCCTTGGAAAACAATGGAGGAGGGAGGGGAGACAAAGCAAACACAATGCAGAAACCCTTTAACTGAAAATTAGCTGCAAATTTAAAAACCGAAGACAGGAAGTCAAGGGCAGGGCAAGGTGATTCTAAAGATGTCTCAGTGAGGAAAGCATTTGCCACATGAGCCTCGTGACCTGAGCTTGAGCCACAGAAACCACATTGTGTTTGCGTGGGGAATCATTAAATCCCATTGTGTACGAGCGGTCTGACATGTCATTAGAAACCAACTGAGCGACATCTGAGAGTCTTGCCCACCATTGTTTTATTTTCATTTATGTATTCATCCATTTATCAATTTATTTATTATACAAATTGTACGCCTGACAAAAGATAACTATCCACAGCGAATAAAGAATTCTAAAGAATTCAGCCAACCACAGAAGCACAAGCAAATATAAAAGGGGCTCTGCAATAAGCACTTCTTCAAACACGTGAATGGAGAATGGCTCTGTGGGGGAAAGGTCAATGTCACTAATAATCAAGAAAATCAAAATCACAATGAAGCAGCATTTTACTTTTGTAAGAAAGCTGCTCTCAAAGCGACTAACAATGACTAGTTATAGTATACAAGGGTTAGTGATAGTATTTTTTATTTTTTGTACTGGTTTAAGAACAAAATTTGGTCAATAGCTATGAAACAGCTATGAAAGGATAACTGGAAATACCTCAGCTTGAAGGAGTTAGCTATTTGTGAAAATTTTTATTCCAGCGATGACAATAGAAATGGTGCAGTACTGTTGAGGGACGGTGCTGCAGAAGGCTAAGTACGTCCCATGAGAACAGCAAAGACTTTCTCAGCCTTAGGGCTTATGAATCTCATCAGACTGGCATTCATATGAGGGGATTGGAAAGACTGGGGCTCAAGAAAACAACTCCCACAGGGAATCCAATTGGGAAGATAGATGGATAAGGGAGAGAACAGATTCTCTTTCAAAGACCTACCGTTCCATCCCCACCACAGGCCAGAATGCGCAGATTTGGTACCTTCCTGTACAACTCCAGCCTAGAGAAGAAACGAAAAACAAGGTAAGCACATTGTTCTCTGTAGAGAGGAACCAAGGGGCAAAATTCATGGGTACTACCCACAGCAGACACAGGTACTACCCACAGAGGACATGTGTGTTTTTCCATTCCCACAGAACCAAGGCATACTGACCCTGCAATTGGATCGGAAACCAGAAGCAGACACTGGTACTCCATGACCAACACTGGGATGGAAGTTGCAGTATCCTGTCTTCTCATAATTCTCTGCCATCCTCTCAATTCACATTATTTTGCTCTCTAGATTTTTACTTCCTTTCTTCTTTTCCATTTCCTATCACTGTTCTTTCTCCCTTCTCAGAAAAAAGGCTGAATTAACTGATAATCAGTAATTTTTATGTGTTTACATCCTATTTAATTTTGATTAGCTTTTCCTGAGTCTATTTGTCTTTCAAATCTACACTTCCCATGTTTAATCCTTGAAAATTTGAAAACTGAAAAACATGGAGAAGTCTCATCACTATTGTCATTACAGCAAGCATGAGTCAACTACCTTCGCTCACTCACTCTCTCACTCTCTCACAGCCTTTCCTCCACCCTCAGCCTGAGGCAGGGCAAGTTCACTGGATTGTCTTTACTTTGAAAGTGCCTGCTTCGGGTCAGATCATTTTACCTTTCTGATTGGCTCGCAAGAAAGCCCAGGTGTTCTGCTTTAGAAAGCTTCCTGCTGAAGGCAGGAATTGGCAGTTCTATTCCAGAAACCACCATCTACTTATAAATAGCATAGATCTGCCAGAAAATATTTGTCTTGCTCTGATTCTTATGAAACATCCATGTAATATATAACTTAAAGTAATACAAAATCCTAATAAATATAAAATCTAAATGACCACAAGCCAGCAAAGCACATTTAATGTGACACAAACAAACATTAAGACAAATAAGTCTCACAGCAGACCTTGGTGGCAAAGAAACGCACAGAGTAAGGGAACAACAGAAATTTGTTTTGTAATTATTATTTCCTTTCATGTTTAAAATATTTAACTTACCCATTTTGTACAGGAATATCATTTTCTAAACCCTCTGTATTGACATCTCTTTCATACTGACATTACTACTTATTAAAAAAATAACTGCCAACTCAAATGTCATCAAAACTGTCTTAGTAATGTAGTGGATTTAATACAGGGAATCAAACAGAAAGGGAAACGCCCCCATTCTTTCCTGCTATATTGGGTCACGTACATCTAGACTTAAAATTTTCAACACTTCTAACGAAACACCTAAATCCAGAAAGGGGGTGGAGCAGAAATTAAGTGCCTGTCCGATTGAACTGTAGCATCCAAAGCTACAGTTAGTTAATCTCAATACCTCCACCCCTCCCCTCCCTTCCTCTATCTTTCTGTCTCTTTTTACTTCTGCTTTCTCCCCTGTCCCCATATACACATTCTGGATGAAGTCATACGCATACAATCTCTCCAGATCAAAGGTTTATTCATACATATGTTGACCCTTTGATTATAAACGCACATTATATCTCTGCAACTGGAGATATAATGCATAAACAGAAAAGCAGAGTCCTTTCTCATCCCCCAACTTTCTAAGAATAAGCTTCAGGCCTGCATACACTAGCAGTAAGCACTTGAGAAGCAACAATTGCTCAGAAATGGTTTGGTGGAAACAAATTCAATGACAGGGTGGGGGTGGGGGCAACAGGAGTTTTCAAGAAACGTAAAATGCAAGTAAGAAAGTTAATGAAAGATGAGCAGAAAATACTTCAGCAGGCCATTAGATAATAGAGAGCATTGACCCCAAATCCTATGGTCCTCACTTGCCTAAAATTCAGAAGGCCCATGGAGGGTATTTCCAGACTTACGCATCTTTTGGCCCTTCCTGAGAAAGATCGAAGACTTGCCGTGGATTCAGGTACCACATGAACATCTGGAGGACTTTGGTTCCCTACAAAAGAATAAACAAGTGAATAAATAAGAGGCAGAATTTCCCAAACTTAAAAAAAAAACAGTCATTCTCTCTTCAAAGGGTTAAAGTGCACACGGTGCTCCTTGAGTGCTCACGATGTGCAGCTCAGATCCGCCCGCAGCTCAAGCCCCCCAAAGGGACCCAATGCCTGTTGTCTTGGCAGGCACACACTTGCAATAAAACCAAGCAAATACGTTAAATAAGATTTGATTACAAACCATGGCCTTCGATTGTTTGTATGTCCACGCCTGGAGTGGGTGTGGGTTCAGGTGAGATGGGTGCAACCTGGATGATTTCGTTAGTTTTACCATGTGTTCTCTTTCACACGGAACAATGAGGCCACTTCTATAAGGCTCAATCGCAGCAACATGTGAGTTCATGTGCTTAATGAACAATATATATGAGTTTGACATCACTATGCAATGCTGAAAAGTCTATCTAGGAAAGTAGCCAGACTGTGTCATTTACCATCAATTTTTACTTTGTCTGGAAACAGAAGTACAGGCGATGTTAGTTAATTGTAATTGTAATTTTATTGAAATAACTTTTCTTACAGAAGTAGAAGAAATGAAAGCATGTATGTATGTGCATATGTGTGTGTATACATATATCTTTCATTCCATACATACACACACATACATACATATATCCAGTTTGGATTACATAGTAACAGCTGTATCAAAATAAAATTGCTACATATATAAATAGAACTAAACTTCTATATATAAAATAAATACAATTTCATTTATTCTTTTGCTTCATATAGAAAACTATTTCACTAAGTCCATTCTAGCTAATATTACCTATTATTATTATTATTATTCATATTATATGTGGACAATAACAATGTAAACAATAAAGCTTAAAATTTAATGTTAAATGACATAGGCTGGCATATTAGCTAATCCTATCATAGTCTGTTTTGACCCTTTCTGACCTACATGTCTATGTCAGCTTAAACCAAACCATCCTAAGCCATCTGCAGTGGTTTAAGGAACTATGATATTCACAGAGAGAACCACTGTGACAGACAAAAGGTAGTTTAGGAGATGCTTCTTCAAGCCTACTGAGGGAAAAAAGTAAACAAATTAACCAGTATCAACAGACTTTTAAGCTTGAGCAAAATCATTCATTTTTATCAGCCACAGCAAGCAATCTTTTGATTTTTTCATCAGTTTGTCAAGTGCAATGTAGTAGAGCCATGATCTTTTCATATCCAGTCTGCTGTGTCGAAGGGCTACCCTCCGAGAGTATGAAGAGCTAGAGACGTGGGGTGAGGGCTAAGGAGGAGAGCGCCTCGACTCTGTCACAGGTGCAGTATGTGAATGAACAGGGATGTCTCCCCTCCAGGGTGATTATGTGAACCACCTGGCCACTGATGGTCATACATCTAGCACAGCACTTGGCACAATAGAGACCTCAGTACATGCTGGTCCCTTTCTCCTTTTTCCTTTGTTAATCAATTTGTGCAATTACACTTGGTGTGGGGTCACTGTGTGGTTGGGAATTATCTCCCTACTGTGGCAATTGGTCCAGGAGCCAGTGCAGGTCTTTTGTCTCTCAGATCCCCCAAAGCTGTAATCTAAAAGTTCTGGCTTCTCACACGCTTGCTGTAATTTTAGCATTCCATTCTTAGCTATCAGAACACCTCCTTTGGCCTCACCAAATGACATATTTTGCTCCCTGTCAAGTACAAACAAGGATTTAGGGATATACCAGCAACATGGATATTATTTTCTTCCTTTCCATGTTGGGCCTTGCTACAAATGCATTCAGGATTATGTTGATCATATTCTATGTTAGATGTAACATAAGCATCATTTTAATGACAAAACTAATTTAAAGAAGATATCCAACTGACTGGATAGGAAGTCAAATTTTCTGTTTTAGACTCCTAAAGCAGCATGAACGGTTGATGTTAATGATGCCTTTCCAGCTCTGCTATGGCAGAGTACACATCTCAATTTCAGCTTCTACTATAAATACAATGTGAGATAATTATCAGCTTTCAAGAAAGGAAAAATATAAAGCACAGAAAGGTTATTTGGCTTAACTTAAAATTTCTGTAAAAGATTTGATCAACTGCATGGCTTCACTTTTGCTCATTTTAAATCTGTGTTAACTGAACACCTAATTATCACAATGTATCATTCCAACAGAGGAATGCTTACAAAGCCTTGCAAGTTGTTCCTGCTATGTCCCAAAGAGCCTATTCTGGCTTCAGTCTATTGGACCAGCACCCCTGGCCTGGAAAAATAACCTGCTTGCCTAGGCATGGATAGATACAGCATCTGTTAAAAAGTAGCGCTGGGCTGGAGGTACAGAAAGCACTTGTTAAGAAAGGGTAAAGATTCTGAGTTTCGATTTCCAGCTCCTATTTAAAAAGCCAGACCCACACTTAGCCAGACTCAGCACCAGCGAGGTGGAGACAGGCATATTCCTGGAGTTTGCTGGCCAACTGGTCCAGACAAGTCAGTGAGCTCCAAGTTCAGTCACCTGAACCTGCCACCAAGGAAAGACCAAGGAAGCTGGGTACAGTGGCACAGGCCTATAATCCCAGCACTGCCACTCATGTGGCAGAGGCAGGTGGGTCTCTAAGAGCCTGGTCAACATAGCAAGTCCAGGACAGCCAGTCTGTGAAAGAAGAAAGAAGGAAAGAAAGGAAAGAAGGGAGGGAGGGAGGGAGGGAGGGAGGGAGAGAAGGAGGGAGAAAGAAAGAAAGAAAGAAAGAAAGAAAGAAAGAAAGAAAGAAAGAA